TCTTTAGAACGGCTTTCCGACTACAAGCTCTTAAGTGTACCGTTCCATGAAAATCTTCGTTTGACGTCTTATGTAAGTCTCGTGAAACGTAATATTGCGCAGTCAGTCGGTATGTTAAATAGTTTAAGAACATTACTGCCCAGGTGGCTAAAGCGTGAGCTTTACTTTTCTACTGTTCATTCTAGACTTCATTATTGTTTATTCGTCTATGTAGTGACATCCAATTTAAATATAGATCGTATGTATTTAATGCAGAAAAATGCATATGGTTTATTCAAAACTTGTCTGCACCTGATCACACATCCTCATATTTTGAACTGAATCATCTACTGAATATTGAGGCTTTATAAATTCAAGGAGTGTCTGCGGATATTTTTTCAAAACTAAAAGCTGGCCGTAAACTATTTTGTCTCCATATACAGACACTGACATACATTACAATTTTAGACACAAAAAGTTAAAAAAAAGAACCAGAACCAATTACGGTACACAAGTATTAACCTGGCGAATTCCTAACCTCTGGAGCCTTTACCCTGCCTTAGTTGAAATGATTCACAAAAGCTTCTCACTGTTGTCCTTCATAAAACAAGCAAAAATGTATTTTCTTCATCCGTTGTTGTTTGCTGTTTTCTCGGTTCTAATCCTACATATCGATGTATTGATTATTATGTTGCTGTTATGTGATTTTCTCTAGATAATTATATGACCTCATAGGTAGTATACGTAAAAATAATTGGGGTTGTGTGGATATTTATACAGAGTGTAGTTGGTCAGCCATTTCAAAGTTGCGCTGTAGATGAACAATTTCGCCAGTGCAGTACAGCCGCTAGCCTGGGGTCTTTAACGTGCACCACGGAAATAGTCGCACAGGACCACACGCCGGTACGATGCTCATCCAGATCGAAACGGGAAGGGGTGGGGATGGTAATATATGTTGATTGCTTGCTACCTGTGATATGAATGTAGAAAACAGGCAGAAATCTATTTTCTTTATCCGTAGTTGTTTCTCTTCTCTGTTCTAATCACGCATATCGAGGTATTTGCAATTATGTTGCTGTTATATACTTCTCTTTTGGTAATTATATAACGTCATAGGTATTTTATATATATATATCTTTTTTACTTTTTTTTGTTTTGCTGTTTGTTTGCCTGCTGCCTGTGTTGTGAGTGTAGCCTGGTACTAGGGCCTAGTCAGGCGACTTTATTAAAGCCTTTTTTTCCGCAGCTCCATCGCAATCCCTGTATTGTCAAAAACCCAAATATACAATAAACAATATTATCGATATTTCCCAGTATGTGCCCAATATTGGTAAATATTGGGATAATCTTGTTATAGCTGTCTAATAATATCCAGCATGTGCCCAGTATTGGTAAATATTAAGACAATCTTAGTATATCTGGACAGTATTACCAATATTATAGAGTATGCCGACTCAGTAAAATGCCTAGGCCTTAACTTTTTTATCTTTCATGGAACACACATATGTCTCATATACGCCAACGATTGAGAACTGTTTCGTGTTTGCTTTGCCATATAAAATCATCTCTACCATTCTCACTCAAAAACAGCATTACGCAAGCGTTAGCCTACAGCATACTCAGATACGGCATCACTGTATTTTTTAACTGTCCTCAGTTCTGGCATCCGAGAGTTGATCGTATTCTAAAAGGAATTTTAAAAAGTGTCGCATATAGCAAAGACTTTCTATCCTGTGATAACTTGCTTGCCTCTCTCGAGTTACCTTGTTTTCACTCACTATTTCTCCAAGCTGTTATCTGGCGACACTTCTGGGGAAGTGAGTTCACAGTGACGTCAAGTCCACTTCGTCATATGAGATCTGCTCCGCGCTTTCATACCCCATGGTTTTGAACTGATTCCGCTAAATTTATTTGCTCATTTTATGTCCCAAAAATATTTACTGAAGTCCCAGATTCTTTGCTTCTCCCTACTTAAACAAGACATTAAAGAAATATCTGAGGACCTCGTTCTCCGACGTGTATAGACAGTGAACATTACTGCTTTTACTCTTATTTCTTTGTTCTTACATTTCGCATATTCCCTCGTGTAATTATTTATTTTTTGTACTCAGGCACTTAATTTTTTTTTTCTTTTGGACGCACAAAGTGACTAGTAGATTGATTGTGTGAAATCTGTTATTTGACCCTATGCATTTTGTTTTTCTGTGAACGCACACAGAGGGAATTTGCCTGACTCAGCGAGAGACATTCGTGTCTTCAATACGATATATAGTGCTCTTTTTTGCTTTCCGTTTGCATTTTTGCGTAATTTTGTGTGCGGAAGTGTGTACTAGTCAATGATTTTTTTTTTTTTATGACTCACGTTCAAGATACATACAAACTCGACTAAAACACCAACTCTGACTTTCCGCCTGTACTCTGATGAAACATTGAAAGATTTGTGTGCGTGTGTTTTTTTTCTATGTGCACGTTATGTGAGTCCGTGCGAATATCCGGTCTGCCACACCAAATGCTGGATCTGGTCCCACAACTCTCGAACTAAACTTTGGGTCACTTACCTCAGAATTAGCAGTCGACTTTAACGACTTCTTTGCTAAATACTCTGGCGTGCTAAGAACCCCTGCTGTGAACTCATGCACACTAAATAATGCATTTTCGGCGTCAGCTTTCCTCCCTTGCTTGGACGAAAAGGATCTGCACTCCCTTTTATTTAGTTTCAAAGCCAGCAAATCTCCAGGTATTGATGGTACTCGAGCGTATGATTTTCAGAGAAATTCCACATATATTATGAACGTTCTGCTCGCTATGCTGAACGGCTTCATTACGTCTGGCAGCATACCTGATGAGCTCAAGGCTGCTATTGTGCGGACCCGGCCAATTTTCGAAGGAGGAGAACGATCCAATGTTACAAATTATCGCCTAATTTCGATTCTACCTATTTTAAGACAAATTCTCGAGAAACACCTCTTTCTGACGATGAACAGTTTTTTAGATAAGAACGAAATATTTTCATCTACTCAGTACGGATTCATTACTGGGAAAGGCACGCAACTGGCCCTTGATGCTCCTAGCAAAATTTTATCGGCTTGGTTTTCGTGGCCCTTTTTATTCTTTACTGAAAAACTTTGTCTAAAAGGTCCCAGTTGGTCCTAATTGGAAACTTTAAGCGTTCTCGGCTTTCCTTCTTGGCTGGAGTGCCTCAGGGTTCTGTTCTTTCTCCTCTACTTTTCAATACTTTTGTGATCGACATGGCCGAGGTTATCAACGGGTGTAAAATTTACCAATGTGCCGACGACACTCTGCTTGTGTCACGTCATATTAATTTCTCTGACTCACTCCACACACTCGAAATAAACGTCTCTCATTAATGGATTAATTTGGCGACAACCTCCTAGACACAAACCGCTCGAAAACAAAGTTGGTGTGTTTTCACAACCGCCTTAAAAGACGCCAGGCACAAGTAAAGATTTTTTTCACCCTTCCAGTTGTGCTCAATGCAACTGTGTATTAACCCAGTCTGTGGATCACGTGAAATACTTGGTTGTACATTTCGATTTTGACATGTCTTGGAACACACATATGTCATATATTTGTAGCAAATTACGGATTGTGTCTTGTATGCTTTATAATACTAAATTCTTTATGCCAGTCGGTATCAGAATAATAATCGTCCATGCTCTTGCTTACAGTATCCTTCGATACGGCGTTACGGTGTTTGGCTACTGTTCGGGTCGTTGGCAGTCCAAAGTAAATTCTTTATTGAAAGGAATCCTGACAAGCGTTGCATATATTCCGAAATTTTGCAGTAACAGTGATATTTTTCGAAGTCTTCAATTGCCTAATCTGCGTTCTCTTTTTATACAAACGGTAGTGCTCCGTAGCTTTTGGAAAAATGAGTGTAAAACACCATTTCAGTCTCCCCGAATACTTCGTCGCGTTCCTCTTTTTGTAGTGCCGATTTGTTCGACCAGGTACGGTAAATGCACTCGGGATTACTACGTTCTGTGTTTGTTCAACGCCCTTCCTGACATGTTCATTGACATTAGATCACCGAAACAACTGAAGAGGAACTCAAGTGCACCAACTTTGATTTCATCTAGCATCCCTTTGGTGTGTCTGCATGCTTCGAGCTTGAACTGTAATTAGCTAAGTTAATTTTAACTTAGTTTCGCCTTTTGTTAATTTTTTCCCCTCTTCGTTTTCGCTTAACGCTTTTCGTGTTATTTTTTCTTGTTTTTTCTAAGTGTTTTTTTTTCATTCTCCGTGCTTTCTTTCTTTTTTGTTTTTTTTCATTTAACGCTTTTCGTGCTTCTTTCTTCATGCTTTTTTTGTATTTTATAGTTCGACTTTCTCTCTTGCATTGTGGAATCACGATAACCGTCTTTTCAATTTCTTATGGGCGTCATCATACAAGCCCTCTGCAGGCTAATTCAAGTACTGAATATGCCAGTATTTAGTACTTGAATTCCAATTTGTGTGACAATAAAATATATTTATTTATTTATTTATTCTTCTTCTTCTTATTATTATTATTATTATTATTAGTCGGCGGCCCGAATTCATCACGCAACTGCGTGATTGGCAGCAGCGGCAGCATTGAACAGGCACGACCAAACTAGTCCCCTGTATCTTTCAGATAACAGGAGCGCTGCCGGGACAACACTGCCGTGATTTGAACTTCAGATCTGCTGACTTCGGAGCTACGAGCCTGCCTACTCCAGACAAGGCTCGGTCGACCGTGACGTCGCCACTGCTAACATCAAGCGCTTCCGTCGACCAAGCTGAAGCTACAAAAGGCACCTCAGCGGAGCCTTTCCTTCACATTGGCAGCAGCGGCAGCATTGAACAGGCACGACCAAACTAGTCCCCTGTATCTTTCAGGTTGGTGTTCTTTTATTTCCTAGTACCGCGTTTTATGCCGCTGCTGCTGCTGCTGCTGCTGCCAAGGTGTAGCCATGAGTTCCAATGGTCAGTCTAAAACTTGTGAAAAACAATTCGTATCGTCCGATGCAAAAATTGCGTGCAGCGACTGTGATGGTAGCTACCACACGGGAAAATGTTCTGGAATTTCTGACAAAACAATCAAAACGAAGGGCGAAGCGTATCGTTTAGCTTGGCGCTGCCCAGCCTGTCGTCGTTTAAAATCCTGTGCACAAGCTCGGGATCCTACACTGAGTGACGACTTGGAAACGCATGATGTGCGACAAATGCTAAGGGTGATCAATGAGAAACTTGACCAGCTCTTACCGCTCAGGGAAGTAGTTGAGGGCATTGAAGATTCAATGCAATTTTGGAGCGAGCAGTACGACGAACTGCGGGAACGAACAGAACAAAATGAAAAGGACATCAAAGACCTAAAACGCAGAATGGAAAAACTTGAGGCGCAGGACGTTGAAGTAAATCAGATGCAATGCGAAATCGATAACCTTGAATGGAGAAGCCGGCGCCTTAACCTCGAGTTTCACGGAATACAGGTAACCGAAAAGGAAAATTTGCTGAGCAAACTAAACGTACTTGCCACACAGCTCGAACTGCCACAGCTTTCTGATATGGACGTGGTGTCCATTCACCGTCTGCCTTCAAGGAAAGATAAAACGCCGGGCGTAATCTGCCGCTTTGCAAGACAGGCTGATAGAGATAGATGGTGGGAAAGCAGAAAGAAGTTACGTGATTCGAATGACACTCTGTTTCTACTTGAAAACTTGACAAGACGATCCCGTTCTCTACTTTTCGAAACGAAAGCCTGGGCCAAAAGGAACAATTGTAAATACGCGTGGCACAGCAATGGCCGAGTGCATGTGCGCAAGTCTGACGAAAGCCGCGCGGTGGTAGTCTCTAATATTGCCGACCTAGATAAGCTTCGATAAGAAATGAGCAATCGACTATCTATGGCAAGTACAGCCAGCGAATCATACTTACTTCCGAATTCTTTTGAAAAGCATCTAGGAAAACCGTTCTTGCGGTCGTTTAAATGTTTTCACTCGAATATACGCTCAATTAAAAATAAAGAGTCCGATCTTCGTCTATTATTTGATAATTTTGGGCTGCAATCTGATGCAATATTGCTAACCGAGACATGGTCAACTGACGAAACAAATGTATTTCGTCTCCCATCGTATAATACCTTTTATTTAAATCGCCCTAGTAGCCGCGGCGGTGGAGTGTGCATTTTAGTCAAAAAAGAATATAACTGTGAAATATTGTCAGACTTTACTGTAAATACGAGTGATTGTGAACTTTTGTCAATTCAAATACAAAACACGGTAATTGCCGTTTGTTACCGCCCTCCCAGTGGTACCGTAGATACATTCTTAGATTGCTTAGAATCAATTTTTGACTTTATTACACAAAATCGTTTCAATTTCATCTGCGGCGGTGATATGAATATTAATATGCTAAAAAGTGATTCAACGAGGTCTAAACTAGATATTTTACTAATGACGCATAATTTGCGGAATTTCATTATGCTACCCACAAGAGTGACTGAGCACTCTTCGTCTCTAATTGATCTGTTTTTAACAAATATAAGCTCGAGCCAAGTAAAAGCAGGAGTGTTTGCCTGTGACCTAAGTGATCATCTACCAATATTTATCTGTACGAAGGGGCATGTAAAAAATAAAATATTGCAGTCGGCATACCCAGTACAAAAAATAACAGAAACAAACCTGACCATCTTTTGTGATAAAATTGCACAAACAGCTTGGGAAATAGTACTGAACAGTAATGACGCAAATGATGCCTATGATGAATTTCTCAGAATTTTAAAACCGATATATGCAGAAAGTTTTCCTTATGTACGTATTAGGAAAAGCAGAAAGATTCGTAAGCCATGGGTTAACTCCGAGCTTCTCGCAAGTATTGATGAAAAAAACAAGCTCTACAGTCAATTTATTAAAACTAAAGACCAAGAAATATTACGTAAGTTTAAAACTTGTCGCAATCGCCCAGATAAAGAACTCAAAAAGGCAAGACGCGATTACTTCGCAAATCAATTCATTTCCGCGGCAGGGTGCTCAGAACTAATGTGGAAAAGATTAAATGCCGTCTTAAAGCATAATGTTTCCCCAGACAAAGTCAACAAAATAATCACAGATGATGGTGAGTTATTTGGAAAAGCACTTGCAGATGCTTTTAACAAATATTTCGTGAATATTGTCAATAAAACCGTAACGAACTGTAACCTCGAGAACATTCCGTCCAACCCGAATTCTATTTTTCTTAACCCTGTAAATGAACAAGAAGTTATTACTACAATTATAAATTTAAGCAACAGCAAGGCTAAAGACGCTGATGGATTTCAGATAAAACCAATTAAGCACGCTGTTGAACTTCTTGCCCCTCACATAACGCATATATTTAACCTTTGCCTTAGTCAAGCTGTTTTTCCTCGGAGAATGCAAGTTGCCCATATAAAGGTGTTGTATAAGAAAGGCGATAAAAATGACATGGGAAACTACCGTCCCGTGTCGATACTTCCAATTTTTTTAAAAGCGTTAGAAAGAATAATTTTTTACCCGTTTTATTGACTTTGAGCAGAAGCATAACCTTTTAAATGAATCTCAATTTGGTTTCCGTAAAGGACTCGGTACAGAGTCCGCACTGCTCGCACAGAAAGAACTAATCTTGACCGCACTCGAGGAAGGAAAATTGGTTCTTGGTATCTTTGTAGATTTAACTAAAGCATTTGATCATGTAAATCATACATTGCTTGTTCAAAACCTTCAACGTTATGGTTTCAGAGGGAAGGCTGCATCCTTAATCACCTCTTATCTACTTCATCGTTTACAAACAGTCCGTATAGACGATCATTTCTCCGATCCACTTCCTGTTTCTTGCGGTGTACCACAGGGGAGTATTCTGGGCCCTTTTCTTTTTAATATGTATGTAAATGACATCGTCTCTGTTGGATCAGATGTTAATATGATTATTTACGCTGATGATACCAGCATATTTATAACCGGAAATGTATATAATGAGATAGTCGATAAAGCAAATTCGACGTTACAAAAACTAGACGAATGGACGTGCCAAAATAGCTTAAAGATAAATATAAACAAAACTAAAGCCGTATTATTTCGTAGTAAAAATAAAAGTGTCATGTTAAATCGACCAATAATGCTAAATTCGACACCCATTGCAGTTGTTTCTAGTTTTAAAGCCCTAGGGGTTGTTTTTCAAGAAACTTTGTCGGGGGATATACATATTGATTCCGTAGTTGCTAAGCTGTCCCAAATAGTCGGACTTGTTCATCGTAATCGGCACATTCTGCCACGAAATATTATGATTTTAATTTATAATAGTTTGTTTTCATCTAGGCTTAACTACTGCCACCTAGTCTGGGCATCCACAACTCAAGCAAATCTACATAAAATACATGTCTTACAAAAACGGTTCCTAAGAGTTGTTGAAAATATTCCGTCTTACTTTCACACGCATGAGTTGTTCGTAAAATATAATGTATTGCCGATTCACAAAATGTACGATTATCGGCTCTCTAAAACTTTTCAACAAGTGGTAAAAACTAAAACATCGTTTTTTAAAGGACTAGCTAACTTACAAAGCAATACTACCGCCTATACAACGCGCCATGGTGAGCCTTGGAATGTTAGCACTTACAGAACAATCTACGGGCAAGATACGTTGAAAAACAAACTGCCAAGGTTACTAAATAGATTAGCTGCCGAAAATGTCGAGCTTTTAGATATCACGTTTAAAACATTGCGTCGTTATTTCAGCCCTGAGTCGACTTTCCTTATGTAAAAAATGCTGTGTAATATTATTAAACGTGAAACTAGTTGTGCATGTAAGTAATATTTTTTTTTCTCTTGATAATGCTTTTCAAGATATCCTAAAATTGCGTGGTTGTTACGTAATTTGAGTGTGAACATTGTTGATTCTCTTTATTCTGTTTATCCCGCTTTTTCTGTTAATGCTGTAGTCTGTATGGTAAGTTGATAATTTTCTTCTTAGTGCTGCAAATGCCAATGTGGGGGCCTGTGGCTTTGTCAAGCTGGTCTTGTGACCGCTTTTTCCACAAGCCTCCAGTATCATGTACTCTGTATTTGATGCAAATACAAACCAACAACAACAAGAACAACAACAACAACTAACTTTGCCATTTTCGGCAGGGCGAGCGGTACTGCGGTTCTAGCAGTTCCTCGTGCCGGGCGCGCACCATCGCTGCCGATCGCCGACCGATATCGCTGACTCAGCACTCGTCAAGCAACACCAGGCCAAGTGGTTGATCGCCGTTCATCATTCGGGCAACCGGATAGGACGACTATATCAGCGGATCCCACGACTCTCCTCAGCGCAGTCGGCGGCCCGAAATCATCACGCAACTAACTTTGTCATTTTCGGCAGGTGAGAATCTTTTATATAATGTTTTGATAGCGACTGTTATTGTTCTGCCGCCGACTGCACCAAGTATTTATTCAGAGTTGTGTGTTTCTTGTTTCCTTGTTCACACGCAAAGTCTTACTTTTCTCTTCTACCATGGCGGCCACAAGTTCTACAAAGTGTATTGGGTGTTTTGAGCAAGTTCCATCTGACGGGAGTTTCATGACCTGTGCTTCATGTAAACATGTTTACCATTTAGATTCATGCTCAGGAATTTCGGAAAGAACGTTCAAATCGATGGGAACCTCGAAGCGGGATAAGTGGATTTGTGGGTTATGCAGAAACCGTGAGAGTAAGCTAAGTATGAGCTGTGTGAGTGAGGACGTGCTTCCTGCCGGGGGAGACGCAGTCGCCGCGCAACTTGCAGAGATAAACTCGAAAGTCGAGCTGCTTCACTCTCTAAAGACAAATGCTGATCGGCTCTGCGATCTCCCGGCTAAGGTGGATGACCATCTTTCGCTAAAGCCCTCAGTTGATGCGATTAAGGAAACGATTAAGGGGCTCCAGGATTCTGTAAGAAAATGCGAATCGCTGATGCAAACTGTGACCGAAAATGAGAAGGAGGTGAAGCTACTCAGATCAGAGGTCGGTGCACTGCAAGCTACAGTGTCCGACCAAACGACAATGATTGCGCAACTCCAGTCAAACATTAATACAAATGAGCAGTACAGTCGAAGATGCAATCTGGAAATCCATGATGTGCCATGTACGAGCGGTGAAGACCTGAAAGCCGTTCTAGTCGACCTTGCTCAAAAAGTAGATGTAGCGAGTTTTGACCCTGCTGAAGTAATAGCCTGCCATCGCTTGCGCTCCAGGCGCGAGGGCATTGCGCCAATTTTGGTGCAATTCATCTCGGTATCCAGCAAGGAACACTGGATGAGCGCGCGCACGAAGCTGGCTGCGCTTTCTCGGTCAGAGCACCAACAGAGGCTTTACTTCAAGGACAATCTAACCAGAGCTAATAAGGACCTCTTCTGGCAGGCGCGAAACAAAGGTAAAGAAAAATCGTATGAGTTCGTGTGGGTAAAAAACGCCGTCATCCTTGCTAAGAAAAGATGAAACGCCACCGGCACTCCGTATCTCTAGCACTAGGGATTTAGAAAAAATAGCGTAATAATGGAGGACACAATAATACTTCCTCATTTCACTTCGTTTCTCGACTTTTTTCCTCCTAATGCTAGTACACGTACGGTCCTACATGTCAATATAAGAAGCATTAGAAAATACTGGAATGAATTTCAAATCGTTGCAGGAAGAGTGGGGGTCAGTGTAGACGTGTTTGTTTTAACGGAAATAAATGTTCGGGACGTCGAAGTTTCGCAAAACCAATTTTCCTTACCTGGTTATGATGCGTTCTTTTCTACTCGTAGTAAATTTAGGGGAGGAGGTATAGCCATTTATGTAAAAGGTAACTGGTCGACGGTTGACTTGAACCTTAGTTTTAATTATGCCGAATGCCTTGCTCTAAACCTTTCTAACCGTACTTCAGTTGCATCACTTTTGGCTATTTACAGACAGCCGTCTGAAAATGCGCTTAGCTTCCTGGAGGAGTTGGATTCAAATATAGAAAAGTTGGCAATCACCAATAATGTTTTCCTGGTGGGTGATTTCAATATTGATTTACTAAACCAA